CCCCCTCCGTGGTGTCCAACCCTTTCGACTCTTTTGGTCGTCGGATGCTCTTTCTCAAAGATCAAAGTACAAGAAGAAAGCTCTAGATAAAAATTCACGGACTTACTTCAAGTGATCCCCATCGTGAGTAGCTTCTGACATAACGAGTGATCCCCAAGTCGAATGATCCCCACCAAGACTATCTTCTAACATTTTATCTGGCAAAACTTCTGACATTTTGTCTAGTAAACATGGTAAACCTTCTGACATTCTACCTGACCTTTCTGCTAATGATGCACTACTCGGCGTCATTTACATCACTTGCATCACCAAACCGCATTTTTGATGCTTTCCTAACCACACTTTTTTTCGCTCTCCCCCACCAGGCTCAGGGTTCGACCTCCAAAATCTGCCCGAGCGCGACCACCCCCCGCACACCCGCAATATTCATTTCGTTCACCCTAAGAACTCAAGCCTTGCCTACCGGCTGGCTTTCGTGATAATATATGAAGTAACTTGTATGACTAAATTTGGATCAGATTTCAAAATTCCTCAACGTCTTTGCGACATCTTGAATTAGGAAGTTAAATGGAATGGGAAGGCCGGATCTTTACAATCTTTACATTCTATTCCTGGCACTTCTGACATGCAGTGCAGCCCTATTTTCAGCCATCATGCATAAAATTGTGCACACTTCCGTGCAATATGTGCATTAATTTCGAATGTTCTAAATTTGGCCCATTTGGTCAACTCTGCTCCGAATGCCGCGGACGGTCGCTGCTGCCATGGCTTTGGCCTCACCTCATGGCTCGCATGGAATGGCACACACATGCAGCATGGGGACGTGCATAAAGGATTCACAAGTCCAAAGAGCGTAGAATCAACACACATTAAACATCTCGTATCCAACAATCAACACATGGTTACTGAAGCACGTGTAAAGGGAGGGTAGCTAGAATTCCACCGGCAACCCCTGCGAGGCAGTTCAGATTGCTTGAACGAGCAGCTGGATCGTCGTCTGCCACATGGACTTCCAGTGGGCTGGTCTCATTGCAGGTCCTTACTACAGGCCCAGTGTCTCATGCCCGTGGTCTGCCTTTCGGATCAACTTTCGGCGCTCAGCATGAAGCCTTTCGGATCAACTTTCGGTTGCGACGTAAGGAATTCCACGGGTCGAGCGATGCCATGAGTGGATGACACGTTCGTTCGGCACCCCGACATGGCTGGTGAGGCGTTGCCATGAATGCATGAGTGCAAGTCAATCACCATTTGTTGGAAGAAAAGGGGCAGGTCTAAGTTGGCGGTGGTTTGTCAGGATCAATGACGATTCCCTCTATGCTGAAACAGCCTCCAACATGTTGAACCCGAGCTCTGCTCAGCTGCTCAAGGCGCGGACTCAGCTCCCTCTCACGAAGTTGCCGAGTGAGCTCGGACAAATCCTCCGTGAAGGTGGATGCCTGAAGTGAGCGTC